CCATTATATTTTATGTTAATTGATTAATAATTATATTTTTTATTGAATAATATAATAGTTAATATTAAAATTAGTAATTATATTTTATACTAAAATTAATATTTTTTATATGATGAAGAAATTGTTTATTAATAAATTAATTTTGCTTATGTCATAGTAAAATTTCTTAAAATCACATAAACAATTGTTATAATAAATGTAATATTTTTCAGCTAATTAATTGGTCATGATCACTCAAAATTATAAAAAGTATATATTTATTGCATTTTATGCAATCAATATAGTGATTCGTATACAATCAAATCGTGTGTACTATTTATTTTAACCAATGATCAAATTTTAAAATATAATACTATTATATAATTTATAATTTTAATATTTATAAATTTAATATTATATACATAAATATAACTTATAATACTATATGTTTGAAATATAATACAATTATATAACTTATAATTTTTATATTATATACATAAATATAACTTATAATATTTAGTTTTATTTACATTTGTGCAAATGCACAAGGTCGAATACTAGTTAGTAAAAAAAAGGTGACCCCTACCAGCAAGAGACTGTTATAATACTTCAAAATAGCAGCCTTTTGTGGAAATAAAGTACAACGTGACACAATTGAGAGGGTGCAAGTTAACTTTGCTTTTCACTGCTCGTGCCCTCTTATGAAAAATTACTCTTCTTTTGACCAAAAGTAACATATATGCAAGGAATATTTCTTACTACATTCAATGTTTTGTAGTCTTTATACAGTCCTTTATTTCATGGGTCAGTTAATGCCACATGAATGATAAATATATCATATGAGCATATTTGTATGTGACATAACAAATAAATATGTACATCAATATATTCATCTACTATTAATTAAAACTACAAGGAAACTAAAATAAATGATAAATACATTGCATAATAAATAAATATATAATAAGATTCAGTTACATTAAGTAATAATAAGAAAAATATGTTCCTTCAACACAAGTAATTACTAACTAGAAACTACGCTGGTTAAAAATATGGTAGACCCCATTTGGCATATTTATTATTTCTGCATATTTTTTGGAAGACTGGCCATCTTTACAACTACTTCTCTTCTTCTTTGTCCTCCATAAATGTGGTTGGTAGTGGAATCAAGTATATATGCTACTCAGCTTCTAATTAATAAGGACAAACTAGCTGACTGCCATCAAACTCCAAAACATAAAAGGAAGCAAAAAAGAAAAGTAAAGAAGACGATTGCCTCCCAAGATCCTAACACACATCAGTCTCCCAAAAGAAAATGTTGTTGAAGAATTAAAAATGATATTTCCAAAAAGGAATCCAAAATCCATTAATCCAAGCCACAACTACAAAAGGTGTTAGTGTGACCATTTTCTTTTTGCAGTTGTTTCATATAATGGGGATCATAATGTTTAGGCTTGTACAAGTTAATGGGATCTTACCAAAAACTCCACGACCCTGCTAACTTTATTATGTGTTTACATAATAGTATAATGGGATCCTACTCCATAAGAAGTTGACTTGAATAAAAAAGTGTTACATAAACAAATTTAAAATTGTATAAAGTGGGTTAATTAGATGGTGCATTTGATGATAGACACCATATATATATAATCTGACGAACAAGGTTATTGGAACATGGGGCGCATGAGTTGCGGCAGACCAAAACTCTCAAAATCAATCTTATTTTTTTTTTTTTCATATTTAACACATAAATATGCGGATCAAATTATAGTTGTATTAGATTCTTGCCTATGAATTATGATATGCTAATAGATGGACATGTAGACGATGTGGCTCTATTTTCGTTTCATGCACTATTTCTATTTCTTGTTCTGAAATCGTGTTCCACTTAGTGACTCAGGGCATGTGTAATTACTTCATTTGGCCCTAGGTACACAATACACATAACATTCTAGAAGACAGTGAGCTCAAATTTTATATGCTTTGCACTGAACAAAATGTTGCTTCAATCTTTTCCTGAAATGAAGAATATTGAAAATCCCAAAAACTTTCTCTCCACTAAAAATGAAGAAATCTGCATGAGCTTTCAAAAATGTTGCTTATACTTATGTCTCATAGGTTGCCAAATTTTATTTCGTACAACTAAGTTGAAAATACAAAGTTCTCATATATCAAAAAGGGTTGCCAAGTGAAATGAATGTGTATGTGTGCTACAATTTCTTGTAAGTGCCATTTGTTCCAGAATGTGGGTAAAAGCTAGTTGACAGTCATAAGTTTTGCTAAAATAGAGTACAAATTCAAGCAAATTTTCAGGTCATACATTCTTTTGAAATTGGCTAAGACACGCTGGCATAAAATTAACCGATGTTCATCCAGCTAACATAAAAGGATGGTAATACAAATGGGTCTATCCTTCCCAATCTCATTGATCTTTTTCTTAATAGCTCAACTCATGGCTTCCTTAAAATAGCACCACGAGAGCATTTAAC